TGCTCCCACAGTTGGCTCAGCATCTGCATCACACACCCTAAGCTCTAAACCCCAAATCGCTCTCCAAGCAACTTCCTCAACAGTCTGCATCCCGTCAATTGTAAACACCATATTCTGCTTCTTGTACCTGGGCGGCGGTGTGCAGCCAACACAAGCAGAACGCTTCAAAGTGGTTAGGGGCCAGGAGTTCAGAGTACTTCCTATTTTCTTTTCATTCACCTATACATCCTTATAGAATCCCTAAGATAACCCCTACAGAATCCCTAAGTCCCTATAGTTTCCGTTTTCTTTTCCATTCACCTATATCTCCCTATACAATCCATACATAATCCCCATATGACCCCTATATCGCAGCCTTTCCGGTCTCTCTATGGTGCCTGTGAGTATCATGATTACACGCAATACGCACAACAACACGCAAGCGACCAGCACTTGAGCTATAGTCTAAACTCCTAGTATCTCCCTTCATAAGCCCGATGATACTACTCCCCTATAACCCCCTATAATTATCACGTATATAACCCCCTTTAAGGAGTTTAGTCTATAGCTCACTTGGATACAGTGACTAGCCCTTGGGGACAAGGCCTGCCTCTAATGTGGCTGCTGGACAACTTGCGCCAGTACTGTCCCGGAAGCCTTGAAGGTCCCGTACCCATTGGGCTAATATTAGGGTTATATTGGGATAATGGAAAAGAAAATGGAAACTACCATATTATAGGGTTCTATAGGGATAATGGAAAATGAAATGGAAACTACTATAGTATATTGGGTTATATTGGGATAATGGAAAAGAAAATGGACACCACTATAATGGGGTTATAGGGTTTAGGGGCTATCCCCCTTATGGAACCAAGAAGAATCTGAAGAGCAGCTCCCAAGCACTGCAGGTCTCAAGGGCTTGTTCAGAGGGATGCATACTGCAGTCCAGAGCACTTCTCGACGATAGGCATTGTCTCCTGTTCAACTTTCGAGCAAGGATGCTTGCGATTTGGGAACCCCAGTACGAGATCTTTTCCTCTAGTCTAGAGGGAAAATGGTCTCCGTCTGATGCGATGCGCTAAGCGAAAGAACCGCTCCTGTGGCATTTGAACCGAACGTCTCAAGTCGAAGCCTAATCCCGTGATCAGTGACGATTTGTCCTAAGTGTGAGGTGGCGGGCTAATCTGACTACTCAGATGGGATCACCAAGCTGATATTGAAAAGTAGGAGCCGGAACCATTTGCATTGAAGTGGGCTGAAGTATGGACCTTCAGCATCAAGTCTTCAGACCTTGAATGTCATGGCACATCTTCTCGAGCACACTTACCTCAAAGAAGGGGTTCAACTTTAATGGGTGGTCCTTCTCATATGTCTTGAAGCGCTTGCGGATGCTTTCCAGGTTGTCGTCAACGCGCCCGCCTCAGCTTATGGACTCCAACAACCGCTGGCACTAACAGTTGGTCCATGGGAGTATTCGTGTCTGATGCGCGGATGATTTCATGACAGTCTCAATGCGGAAGTCTTTAGATGACAGCCAGCTTGGCGACCCGAGGCGCAAGTCACGCATCTCATCACGCAGTCCAACTCTTCCGGGGGTGCAGGGATTGTAGGGCTTAGGGCTTGCTGTAAAGATTTGTGCCCCTGAGCAAGGCTATGAAAGATGTACAGCTCCTGTTGAGACCTTCTTGATGACTGGTAATCTTTTGCTGGACTACCAAATTCTTAGTTATGGAGTATATGTATATATGTATATATTATACTATACTATAACTTACTATAATATACTATAGCCTACTATACTGTACCATCATATATTTTAATGTATACTCTGTGTCAACAGGATCGCAGTACCTTGGTGGTCCATACTGCTAAGGTTGATCTGTAGATAACATGAAATGGAAACAGGGATTGTATAGGGGTTGACAGGGATTTGGGTTTCCCAATAATATGCGGTTAACTTTTTTGGGGTCCAATTTTTCATGGGATTACCATTTTTCATGATTAGCATTTTGGGGGTCTATATTGGGGTCCCCTCATTTCTGGAAACAACCATATGTAGTTGGAATAGGGCCTGCTCTACTATTTGACGCGTGATACCCGGGTTTCTGTATACATCTCCAGAATCACGTCTTCGCCGCCACATAATCCCAACGCCATACACAAACCCCTAAAAAGCCTGCAATCTGAACATCATCGTGACTGAGCTGTGGCACGTGAACCACACGTGTGTTTTGCTGGTTGGAAAAAACGGTGTTATTCCTTGTGATATATAAAGGCCTGACCAGAACAAGGACATAGTCTTACTCTTTTTTAATGAGAATATCCCATTTCTGAATACTACTCTCAGAAGGATTTTGAATTGTGGTATTCTTTTGCTGATCAAACACTACTCACCTGAAAGCTGCTGCCCGGGGGCTCGTTGCGGACCGCCCAAGAAGTCTCTTCCTTGCCATCTTTAAATGATACTACACTCCCACTGCCACTACTGAAAGACATTAAGACTTTGTGTTTCACAAGAGTTCCTTTTTACTTCATTCTTAAGGTTTTGTAATAAGAACACCAAAGCAGTGATGCGGAAGTAGGCCGCAGAGATGTCTCGTCCATTCACATGTGCAAACAATCTTCAACAGAAGGGCAAGTTCAGAGGCGGGGCCGCATATGAAAAATCAAGGATATTCCTGGGGTCAACCCAGCATCATGGAATTCACGCCTGTTTGGCAATGGCTTTGAACCCAAAACCCTAGATAAAGCCTGAACGCCCGTTGCTATAATTAATCCAGACTGTAAGCTCCAACAAAACAAGCTAAAATGCTAAACCCTGCCGTGAAGAACTTAATGCAGAAACTTTCTTCAGGGTTGGAAGGAATAGCACTATACTCATGTGCGTAACCACATTTACAAGGGCACAGTACCTCTTACTTTCAAAAGGCCCGAGGAGCTCCATCTCTGTCTCCGAGGCTTCAAAGAACAGGACCCCAAGCACCTGGGGGTTTCTGAGATATGATTGTTATATACTGCTATAATATATGATAATGTACTACACTGTATTGGGTTTCTCAAAACAGGGGGCTATTGAAAGATTGTGCTAGGCCAGCTGCCCGTCATTTCAGACCCATGTTAGGGACTATTGGGGTCCTGTTCACGATGAGGGGCCATTACGACCCTTTTTGGGGTCTCCCGCAGCGAGGTATCCTCATCTTAGCTCGGGGTGGGAAGAGGCTAATTCGGGCGTCCTTGGGCTCCTTCGCCTGCTTCCCAACCTCAGCGAGCAAGCCTGCAAAAAGCAACCAAGATGGAGTGGATGATGACGGAACCACCCCACCGTCAAGAGTACACTTACTTTGCAACACCGCAGTGATTTCATGCCAGTTTGATTTTTTTTTTGCTGGCCTGCAGTTCCCCACTATGGCAGAATGGGCACGTCCGCACCGTCGCCGATGACGCGCTCCCAACCGGTAACCTGGAATTACCGAGCTGTGAGAAGAGGTGTCCATGAAGCTTGACGCAACTTGACGCAGAAGGACTAGGCTTATGCTGGAGACCGCTGGTTGGCTAACTGGCGCTGAACCACGACGGACGACCACAGCCGGCTTCCAGTCTACCAAGCAAACCTTCCTGCGTCAATTCCGTTGTAGTCCCTGTTGGTACAGTGTTTTCCGAATGGCCACACATATACCCTATAACCCCAATATATACCCCATTATGATATAGTAGTTTCCATTTTCTTTTCCATCATCCCTGTATAATCCCATATAACTCCCAATACTTTATATACATGTTCTCAAGCATCTTGACAAGCTGCATTGTCCAGGTTCCGTGGGAAGCCGTCGATCAGGAAGTCTGTTTTGCCCTGCGCCATGTCCTTCCTCATGGCCTTGGATATAGGTACCCATTGGGGTAACATTAGGGTTATATTGAGGTTATATTGGGACAGTGGAAAAGAAAAATGGAGACTACTATAGTATATTGGGATTATGTAGGGATAATGGAAAGGAAAATGGAAACTACTAAATTATAATGGGGTATATATTGGGGTTATAGGGTAGATGCGTGGTATATTGGGATTGTATAGGGCCACTCCAGGGAAGGAAGCAAAAACACTTCAATGGAGCTGGCCATAGGATGAACAACTCTAAGTTCAGTCATCATACTGTTGATACTAAAAATCCTGCATGACCTTATTATACTGCAGTACCATAATTCCCAAGGTATACTGTACTAAGGGTCATGCAGGATTTTTAGTATCCACCGTAGTGACACGATTCATCCTAATCATCCACACCAGAGTTAATATGGCAACTACAACGAGGTCTGCTTGACAACATCTTCATATGAACCAGCCACTGTGCGAGCCTTAAAAATGCAATGCTCATGGTTTCATCATTCTACAGCTTTGATATTGTCTTTTCCCACGCCCTGATCGCATCATGCAGGCCTCTATAACCCCCTCAATACTCCCCGTACCAACTCCAATCTCACGCCTTTCAATACTATCTTGTATGATCCCCGATAAGCCAACAGCTAGGCCCCAAGATCTAAACCCTAAACCTCTGAACCCTTAACCCTATCCCTTGGTAGCCTTCTCCAGAAGCCTCACAGTGATCTCCACAGGGACAATCTTCCCCTCCTGCCAAGACTATGTGCAGCCACCAACATTGTGCTAGGGGTTTGGGTTTAGGGTGAATTATGTAGAGTCATACAAGGATAATATAGGAATCTACAAGGCTATAGGGGTTCTGCAGGCTTCATATGAGGGTTCAGGGTATATGATCTGTGTAAATGACCCACAAGTAGAAGCCAGCCAGCTAGAGTTCTTAATGGCAAGCACAAGGCCTCAAGAAAAAAACTTTGCTGGTATATTGCCCGTTGCTTGGCACACTTCTCGTGCTGGATTGCATCGTGGAAAGGCCTCTTACTTGGGACGCTCTGTAGAAAAACAAATACACCGTCTTGGTGCATACATGAAGCTCGCAAGACCTTCCCAAAACTGCATCCTCAAGCAAGCAGTCTTAGCGGCCCTCCTTGATGAAGGAGTTGATAAGCTCCCCGTCCTGCGATAGCTTCAACTTTGGGGATCGGGTTCAAGGCCTGTGATACTTCGGGCAGTGTCTGTGTTTCTGCTCTGGGTAGACTTGTATGCTGACTGTTGCTCATTCCTCATCTGTCTAGCACTGTGCTCACTTCCTAGTGCGCAGAGCACTGAACCCCCCAAACTTGGATAAGATCACCCAGCCGTGCGTATTGATCAGTTTCAATGCAAGCTGGCAAGGAAGCTTCGGCGGAAAAATGCATCCGAAAGTCTTTGGCTTGCATCATCTGCGCAAGGTTGCTTTCTTCATGCTACAATGCCAGATGTTCGTGATGCGAGCATAAGAGGATTTCTATGTGTGAAATTTTGGCACTAGCAAACAATTTCAAGAGCATTCGTCTGTGGCCGGATCAAATACTCCGGCGTTCCTCGTAAAAATGCAAAGCTCAACAAAATTGTTCTCTCACTCCTTGAATGCATAATGCAAAAGGTGTCCTTTGAGTTCGGGTCGTTCCGCTCTGCACGGAGGCAATCCCCGGCAGAAATGTGGGACCAGTGCGGGAAGTTGTCGCAAATGTTGGCACCTGAGCACACCAACACAGTAAATCCACTAATTTCTCCAATATAATAGGTGAACGTGTACCTATGTCTGCATTCAACAGGCAATAGGAACTAGAATGTGATAAGCCATGCTGCGCGGTCAGCCCATGTTAATACGACATCTTAACCGGGTCTTCTTTGCTAAAGAGGGGTACCACATGCATCCTTCTGATGGAGATCCGTTTCTATAGAGGCAGGCAGACCTTTCATTGTGAGACTTGGAGGTTCGGCATCTGGCGGTTTGGGATGGTGCATGCTGAAAGTGGGAAGATGCTGAGCTGAGGCACACTGCGTTCCTTTTCCAGCACCGGGCCCACCAAGAACGAAGAGGACCTCGAAACACTCTCTGCTAGTGCTTGGCAGGGAACGAGCTGGGATTCATTTCCTGTTTTGATGTGGGTCTGCAGGGCAAGAGCAGCAGCTGGTGAATTTGAATCGCTTCTCGAGTTGGCGTTTGCTTCATACAATTGATATTGGAACGTCTCTAAAACTTTGACATCAAGCTCGCTTAACGGCTGGAGCCTGCCTTTACTTTCCGGAGTTGAGGCTCATAATTGGCGTGGGGGGGGCTCCTATGAGAGATGGCTTCCATGCTTGGACCCACAACAGCCAATGTCGTGGAATGCCTCAACCCCGACCCCCTCGAGGATCTAAAAACTGAAGCCCGCCCGACATGACCCCACTACTCATATTACTACATTGGGACAGCCACGGGATTATTGAGAGGTTCCATCTTTCGGGTCCTTTGGGACGACCGGCAACTCAATTTTGACTGTCTGTCTGCCTGGTAAACCATGCTGTAAACTTATACACGACACAAGGATTCTATAGGGATAAAGTACCCTACACTAATATTGAACCCCTACCCCCGTTAATGATAATTCTTTTCCTTAACGTATGATGGTACTATATCGTGCAATGCTTTACTGGGGTGTGTGTGGGATGAATTTTTTCTGGGGAGGGGACTACTTTTTCTCCAGGCCCTCTTCCCAGTCGCCTAGATAATCTCTATATGAGCTATTCTCCGAATTCCTAGTATCCCTTTTAATGACTCCTAGAATAGTCCCCTGTTATATAACCCTGTTTATGGAGTGTAGACTACAACTCATATACTCCCTAATGAATGTGCGGTCACCCGAGCCAATCACCCGGGGCTTCGCCGGTGCGGAGACCTTCTTCGGCGTGCTTTGCGCCGCTGGAGCCTCGAGGGCGAGGTCTTTTCACGTCATCTTCGCTGGCTGTAGGGTTTGGGGCTTATTGCTTACGATTCATTCTTCAGTGGGCTTATTGTGTAATTATGGTTCAGGATGGTTCAGGGTCAACTATTCCAGGCTTGTGGTTTCTGCTGCCATGCAGGGAGGCTCTACGAGCTGCCTAGGGTCTCCTAGGTTCTCTGAGGTTCTTAGTGATCTCTATGTCACTACCACAAGGCACCTCTACCTTGAATGCAGACCAACAAAAAACCCTAAGCCTTAAAACCGTGTAGACAATACCAAGACCTTCACATGAGCTACTGTCTGAACTCCTAGTATCCCC